TCATTGGAAAGTTTGGTGCACATTCAGATCTTTGGATGCAACTCTTAATTGTTCCATCAGCCAATGAAATTCAGACAGAAAAGTTGGAATATAGAACATTTTTAAAGTGCAATATTTAATTTTAATTTTATACAACTATGTTTATGCAGAATTTGCAAAACAATGAGTATGATGAAGATGCTTATAAAACTATAGGCTAGTGAATTTCATGACTGCAAATTTCTTGAAGGAAAAACAACAAACCTTAGCATTCTAAGCTTAACTACATGTAAAACAATATCTTGCTTATCTTATCAGGGCAGCCAAGAAAATAACCATTGAACTAAATTGTATTTTGATTTAGTAACCTTAAAAAAGCAAAAAACCTAGGCATAGTACTTGCAATTTACACATTAGATTTTTATTAGGGCCCTAAAGGCAATCCCTGTAACATTTAGAATTGTCTAAATGTTAGAACACAGAAAATTCCATCAAGTTCTGGCTTTAAGATTAATTGCATGTGTGGTTTAGTTAAATTTTAGCATTTCTGTGCCTCAAGGTTTTCATCTCTCAAATGGGAAGCACACTTTTGGCAATTTCTGTTTTAAGGCTGGCTATAAATACAAAGTATGACATAGAATGGGAAAACAATTAGAGAGAAAACAGACTTTAAGTACATTATATAATAAAACTTGTAACAGAATATCACTTACTTGTTTGTCTCTTATTCAGTAATATTTAGTTATTTGGGTGTTTGTTTAAATTTCTTCCTCTGTTTCAAATCTTAGTGACTCTCCTTAAAGAGTAAGTTAATAGATGTTGGACCCATTACATGTAAAATACGCAGCCTTTTAAACTGGGATTTTGAGAATTATTTTATTTAGTTCAGTTTAGTTTTTGATTTGTTTTGAGAGAGTTTTGCTATGTAGTTAGTATAGACTGTTTTCCAACTTGTAGTGATTGTCCTGCTTTAGCCTCCAGGTGTTAGGGGTTACAGGCATGCACCACTACATCAAATCTAGAACCATCTCAATTTTTAGAAAATCTGCTCTATCGGTGTTTTGATACTTTGTCTTTATCATGAGAGTAGCAACATTTTAAAAGTTATCTACTATTATTGAATGTTAAGCTTATGATCTTGTAGTTTATTAATGAATGCATCTAATCTCAATATTTTGTAGTCTTTACATTTCAGGTTTTTTCTTACATCTTATTTTCTATGAGTGTTTGTGTGTTGTCCTTGTCCCTTTTGTCCCCATATTTTTCCCAGGACAAAGCTGAAGAGGATTTGATATTTTGTGTAATGCCTACAAGGATCGCGGTTTTGATGATGTGGAGCCTGGACACAGTCCCGCCCCTTTCACATTCCTAAACTATGGGGCTGGAGAGAGAAATTGGAAAAGGATTTAGCGGGAAGCAGGAGGAACCACAGCTTCTGTGGTGGGTCGAAAACTGATGATCAGCTTAAACAGCAGGTGAATTGAATCAGCATGGTGCTGAGCGTGGATGGCCTGACTGAGGAAAGTTGCCAGCATAAAAAGGAGACCTGAAGAGGAAGAGTGGCACTGTGGGTTTCCTCAGTGTTGTTGTTTGGAGCCGTGGGTTCCTCTGGAGGAGCATGTCATGCTGGCTTGGTGTGAATTTGGCTGTTAGCACAGCAAGAGCTAGAGACCTTTTTGCTGAGAATAGCTGCCTTCACTTTGGGGTGCTCTGATCCTTACTTTGAGCATCACTACTGGGCTCTGGAGGGGAAGATGCGTGCTGTTCCATCTCTAAGAGAAGCTTGTCATGCTGTCCTTCTGATATGAACTCAGCTGCTCTTATCATTAGAGAAGGTCAGGACCTTGTTGTTGCTGAGGATGACTATGGTATATTTTAGGGAACCCTGGTCCTTATTTTGAGCATCACTTCTTGGCTCCAGTGTAAACCCTCAGTCTACTGGCACAGATCCTTTATTCCTCTGGCACAGACTTTCTGGCTTCCATTGCGGACCTTTGGGCCTTCCTAGTGCAGATCTATGAAGTAGACTTGCATGAATCATTGTGGTGGGTTTTAGGCGTCCAGCTGAACCTATAGTAGGCATTGTTGTGGGTTTGAGGTTTTCAGCTGGATTTATGTGGGTTATTGCCATGGGATACAGGTCCTTGGATGGATTTTCTAAGTCTTTAGTGTATGAACAGATTCCCTATACTTCTTGTATTTGACTCTGGGTGACTATCATAAAATAATACTATAAATTATGTGTCCTGTATCATTTTGTTTTCCTTGTAATCCCCAACTACAATAGCTTCCTACACGAGTTCCGCACTGTTCCTCAGAGTTGAACTTCTGCCCTGTCTTTGAAAATACGGAAATGTTTCTTTTTCCATTCTTCCTTCTTGCAACTGAGGCACTGAACTCCATTCTCAACCTAATCACTATGCAAAACTTGATTAATAAAAATGGATCTCCAGTAATAGAGGAAGGTACCTTGTCTACCTCTGATATGCTCTGGACTGAAAGGAACAACAGGAAACTAACAACAGGAAACTTCACTGATTTTTGTATTTTAGGACACATACCCTGCATGTTTACATAGTTACATAGTTAAGTTTACGTATTTTTGTCTCAGAGCTGTGAAATACATATTCTTCATTGGTAAAAAGAAAATTTAATTTCAGAGTTTAATCAACTTGTCTAAGTCACATAACTACTAAAACACAAAAATATAATTAAGTTAAATCCAAGAACAAGATTTAAATTCAGTGTTAAATGGCTCAAAATCCATATATACAAAAACTCTTGGAAAGACCCAAGAAAACCAAAGTGTAGATTTGCACATAAATTGTTAGTAAAATGCTGATCAAGAGTACAGGGACCTCTCTTAAAACAGATCTTTCAAAGTGAGGAGTCTGGGGATTGCTGGGTATGTTTTCCACTTCAGAGGAAACATTGTCCAAATAATGCTTTTTATTATGCTTAAATACTCAAGGATTAGCAAACTAATGCCCCCAGTGAATATTGCAGAGTATGTTTACCTAATACGCCCTCCCAAGTTATATTAAATTCACTGTACCAAGTCAGAGAATTCAGTTTAAGGATCACCGTGTAGACACTTCTTTTGTTTCCAGTCTCTGGATTCCTAAACTCACCTGTCCTATAGTTATCAGTGTGTCCTTGATGATTAATGTGAAACAGGAGTAGCATTTATGGAGTGCAAAAAAAAATTCATTCTACTTGTATTTAACTTTAACAGTAAGAAAATTATCCAGGATTACACAATTTGGACCATGCTGAAGGTTGACCCTTGGGAAAATAATGAAGGAAAAAAATGTCCATACTTAAACTCTCACTTTCTGGCTTTTCGACACCACACCACATTGTTATTCTTAATGGCTGCATGGAAATTAACAGATCACAAAGTGTTGAACTTCATCAGTAAAGGAATAGTGAAGGACATGTTTAGGAGTGGACTGACTTGTTCTGAACGCACATGGAGGTAGATTTCTCCACCATCGGTGAGGAAAGGTGTCTCCCAAGAGTTGCCTCACAGGTCCTAGAAGTGAGGTCCCAGAGTAAGCTCTTTTGTGTATGTATACTGGGGTTTGAATCTAGGGCCTTGCTCATGATAAACAAGCGCCCTACCAGTGAGCTGTATCCCTGGCCCACATTTAAATGATCACAAAATAGTTCTCAAAAAAAAAAAAAAATGAAATCAAGCTACATAGATGACTGATATTGACTCCCAACACATCTAGGGAGCCAAAAGCCCCTCCCACTTTGGGTCTGATCAATTTTAGGACAAGTTAGTCATAACAGCAAAAATGCATGAGAAGAAATTCTTGCTTTTCTCCAAAATTTATTGCTTCCTGCCAAGATAAGAACAGAAATCTTATTAGTTCAAGGTCTTCTATTAATATTCTGGAATAAGCTGGCAGAATTGTGCAAGATTCTATAAACCTTTAAATTGCCATTAGCTAATCAGAATCATTGTTCAGTGATCATTATCTTTTATTAAATGACCACTGAATCAGACTGTTCATACTGCTTTTCAATTAAAATGTAGAATAGCCAGAAATGACTCAATAGCATACAGAGCAGCAGCAAAATGACCAGGAAAGCAGCCATTACCCAGAGGTAATTGACCACTTAAGAACTTAAGTTAACTTCTTGATGCCTCCAGTCATTTCTCCTAATGTCATTTCTAAAGGCCTGTCCTACAGAAAGAGCCCAATGCACCCTGTAACAGGGTGGTCAAGATAAAACTGCTCATGATCTTTAAAACTCTAGCACAGGATCGTGCTATTTTCTCCACTTGTCATTTGTTAGAAATTCACACAGCATCCCCAGGGGGACCAAATAAAGCAAATTAGCAGCAACAAAAAGGCAACAGGACAGGATTAGTAAAGGCTTTTATTCTGAATTAAAAGGTACTGATACGTGTGCTTAGACTCACAGCGCTGTCTGAAAGATGAAAGAAATTGATGACAACATGAAAAATTCAGCCCATCAATTAATTCATACAGGATAGTAGATATTTGGCTATTTATCATTCAAAATTGTTAGAATTCTTCTTTAAATATTTTTCATTGTTATATTCCATGGAAAGTAAAAAAAAAAAAAATCTAAATATACCAAGGCATCCTGGACTAGCTACCAAAGAGTTAAGTTTTCCATGAGAAAGAGAAACACAGTTAAATACTACATCACAAATTACCATTTTTATGTCACCACCCCACCATGACTTTAGCACTAAGCCTGTTACTTCTTCACACTCTCATTAGGATATAATGCATATTCATGGTCCTGATTATATAGCCACTTTCTTGACTTGTTTTAATTGTGCATAAAGACACTGTGACAGGAGACCTGACCTTTTCAAGATCATTTTCTCTCCATTGCTTTTCACAAAGCTATTAACTTGTCTCCTTCCCAAAGATTGCAATAATTTATTTCCCATTAATAAAAAATTCCTGGTGCCATGCAAATTAAAATTTATTCAGCAAATAGAATTCTTTGGATTATTTTCTAATGGCTTTAAATACTTCCAGCTTAGGAAGAAAAATAATATTAATGGGTACAGGCTGAGTGGATAATTGCATACATTGGAGAAGAATGAATATACAACTGATGCTGTAGCTTACCTCACATCAATTACCCCAAAGAGTTGCTTTACTTCTTTTTTCAAAAAATATATTAAATAATTTATATCAGGGGGTATCATTATGGCCTTGAAATTATCCCTATTGTATGAAAAGCTCAGTAACTTACATGTATAAACAACACATGTTCGTATAAGAAAACCAGACCAAGTTAAAAAAAATGTGTGTAGGTGTAAATGAGATTATTTAAGGGGGTCACTTAGCTAAAGTGGCAACTGAATTGCAATATAACATGAATAAGGGCATTACTAAAATGTAGGGAATTGGATTTCTTTTCTTATTAAGTGGGACCTGTCTTTCTTTTTCTAATCAAGGGAACCCTGGGAGAGTACCAAATTTCTAGAGGATATTGCTTTTTGACCTTACTATCTTGAGAGTATCTTCTTTATGCTATATGTATTGTTATTTTTACTTTATACTTGATGTTATCATGATAAAACTGAGACATTAAAATGCTTATACACAAACATTTCAGATCTAAAGTGCCAGGGTAACATAATAATTACTATTAACCTGCTTATTCCATATAAAAATGATATTGGTACCCACAAGACAATATTTCAACTTTGATCTATCCTAAACATAACTCTACTTCTGGACTTATTAGTTGTATTAGATCACAGAGATTAGAAGAAAGCCATAGAACTGGGGGCTTTGTTCATGTCTAGGGCAGTGATGGGGAACATTTTAGAGATGTACCCAAATTGCAACCCATATACTGACTTATAAATATACTGACTTATTTATCACAGAGTGCCAGCAATGCAATCAAATAAGATTTTAATTTAGAAAAAAATATATTAACAGATTGTCTTAAAATAAATAACATGCATATCATGGGTTTTCCACCACTGGTCTAAGAAATTAGAAAGTTAATCTGCCACGCAGGGTAATTTTTTCTCTTAAATAGAAAATTTTCTCATCCAACCTAATTTTAAAGACTTTTCTTGTCCCCTTCGATAACTCACATGGAAAAGAAATTTAGGGGAAGAAATCATTTTGGTGCTTTGCCTTTCATGGTGTGATTTTATACACAGGCTTTCACTGGATCCTCAAGAGATTTTTTCAAGCCAGGTACGGTAATTCTTACCGCTCCATTCTACAGATGAGGAAACTGAAGGCTTGTTGCAGTATAACTGTGTTAAAGGTTAGAGGCTAATACATTCAGGAGCCAAGACTTGAGCCAAAATTCTATGGCCCTTCTTAAGGGGTATGTGGTGTTTGCTTTTCTCTCATTGCTGAGACAAAACATCTGATGCTCAAAGTTAGGGAAGGAAAGATTTATATAGCCCACAGTTTGTCTATAGTCTGCTGGGTCCAAGACCAGGTGGTGTGGCAGAGGGCAACAGTTCATAGCAGCCAGAAGACAACAAAATTAGCAAGAGCAAAAAAGAAAAAGCATGAGAGAAGACTCTTTCTGTCCCTTATACTGTATGTAGGCTACCTGCCCTGGGGTGAGTATAGCACTCACACCCATAATCCCAGCATTGGATCATGAATCAATCTCAAACTCTAGAAGCCTGTCCCCATGACTGTGTGAGGCTTTGGGGGGATATCCAGACACAAACCATAACAAATTATGACAACTTGTTTCCAATTAGCTGGCTTATCAGGCTCTTGTAACTGTTCTTACCTGGGTAGCATTTCCTCCCTGAAACATTAGAGATTGCTTGAAGACACTTTTTGTTGTTAAGACCACTATGTGTATTGGGGTGGGGGTAGTCTGTTGGGAGCCGTGGCACTGTCAAGTCATCAGACGCGGTGATTGCGAGGCCTGTGGGAAAGTACAAAAGCCTGAGCTAGATTACCCCTCTCATCGAGCCCGCCTGTGTGGCACCTGTTTCTTATCACCCCACTAAGTTCCCGCCTCACAGGGTAGTCTGCCTAGCTATTAATCCTATATATGACTGAAGCACGGAGGGAGCCGCGGAGAGCGGACCGGTAGAGGCTTCGGAGCGAAGCACGGAGGGAGCCGCGGGGAGCGGACCAGAGGAGGCTTCGGCTGGGAGCGATCCCAGGGCAGGCTGTACGGAGAGAAAATAAAAGAAAAGGTTGTCCACTGCCAGACTTTGTCGTGTGTCCTTCCTGCCGGCCGGGAGCGACATCGACATTTGGTGGCCCGCACGGGGATTGATCAACCCCGAGACGCGGCGGTGGACTGCATTCTCCTACACAGTGCTGCAGCTGCAGGACAGGTGAGTAGAGGATAAGCCTGGGCCCTGGGTGGCGCGCACCTACAGGGTTTGTAGACTCCTCTCAACCTCACGCGTAAGTGGCGGGTTTCTTGGGCCTCACGCGGTGAGTATGAAACATAACACCAGAACTTAAGGTAATAAAAGAGTGTAAAACATAAACATAGAAGTAAAAATAACAGAAGATATATTAAAAATGGGAAACATGCCAAGTAAAGATACACAGCCTTGGTGTTGGTCCTTCGGAGACTCCTAAAGTCCAAGGACCTCAAGGTGGGGCGTAAGACTTTAGAAAATTTCCTTGCAGAGATTGACAGCTTTGCTCCCTGGTTTCTGCCTACAGGGCATGTAAACCTGCCCTCCTGGGAAAAGTTGGGCAGAGACCTTTCCCTAGCAGAACGGGAGGGTAGAGCTTCAGTCTCTGCTCGTCCATTGTGGGAAATGATACACACGTGCCTAAAGAGTGAGGGTAGTTACGGGGGGAGCTCTCAAGAACTTGTAGAAGTACGCGAGGTGTTTGAACAGGCACAGTGAGGAAGCTCCCGAGAAGGGTCCGTCAAGGAGGGCAGAGATACAAAAGAGGAAGCCGAGGCGCGGTTTGTGTCTTTCCGCAGGAATCGGGACGAGAGCCAATGTGGGTCCCAGAGAGGTTGACGCGACAAGTCCCTCGACTGAAGATCAGGCCTGTTCCACCAGAGGCCAACCGCAGACCCAACAACAAGATGAGCCCTAAAAGAACTGCAGGACAATCCCTTTTTGGGGGCCTGGAACGGCTTGCTCCCCTATGTGCTACCCTTGTATACGCATGGCTCGCTCACATGGCCTACGACCGCGTTTAAAAGTGACAGGCTTCCCACATTCTCCTCCCTAGACAACAACATGTAGCAGGGTGGGTGAGTCAATGACGGGTAAGAGCGTGCCTCCCCAGCACGACTCAACCTAAGCCAGGCCCTACCCCGTTCCGCTCGAAAGCCGCTGGATTGTTAGATAAATTTCTCTCCGAGGGGATTCGTGGAGAGAAATGAGTGCATGCCTATGTGCAACCAGGTTCCGTCCGGTTCATTCCTGGCCCTAGAAAAAAGGACGAGGGCCTCAGGGCCTTGGTGGACCCTGGGACGGCCGACCAGGGTCTACGCTAAGGGCCTACGGTGGGCCTCAGTTCGGGGCATAGGCCTCTGCACTCTATCCAGGACGGGCTGCGATGCGCGTAGCCATCATTTAAAATAAAATAGGGGGAGATGTTGGGAGCCGTGGCACTGTCAAGTCATCAGACGCGGTGATTGCGAGGCCTGTGGGAAAGTACAAAAGCCTGAGCTAGATTACCCCTCTCATCGAGCCCGCCTGTGTGGCACCTGTTTCTTATCACCCCACTAAGTTCCCGCCTCACAGGGTAGTCTGCCTAGCTATTAATCCTATATATGACTGAAGCACGGAGGGAGCCGCGGAGAGCAGACCGGTAGAGGCTTCGGAGCGAAGCACGGAGGGAGCCGCGGGGAGCGGACCAGAGGAGGCTTCGGCTGGGAGCGATCCCAGGGCAGGCTGTACGGAGAGAAAATAAAAGAAAAGGTTGTCCACTGCCAGACTTTGTCGTGTGTCCTTCCTGCCGGCCGGGAGCGACATCGACAGTAGTCCACTATTGTTATCCTGTGGGTACAGACCAAAGATGGTACTAAACATTATACAATGCATGGAACAGATTTCCACACTAAGTTATTTGGTTCACAATGTCAGTAATGTCACTTTTGAAAATTTCTTTACTATATACATGCAATAAAGAATAAAGTGAAAATAGCTTTCTGAATAAAATACTCTATGGAGTCTTATATTTTTAGTTTGATGGTAAAGAGTTGATAATGGGCCTGTAAAGCAATGAAAATAAAGAGAAAAAACAAAAGCAGAACACTAGAGCCAGAAAATAAAAGCAAAAGCAATACTGAAGATAAAATAAAATTTATATAAAGGAGTAAAAAAGAAAATGTTTTGATAAAGTTTAAAGTAATCTTGTAAAGCATACAACAGATAAAAATATTCATTTATCCAGAAATAAAGATGAAACATAATGAGGATCACTGGATCCAGAAAATTATGTCGACCACCTGAGAATGTAGATACTGAAATTCTTGAAGTAAACAGTAACAGGAAGTACTATTAGATGAACTGATCTGAGAAATACATATGAGGAGAGGAAAGGAAAGAAACTCTAATAAAAGATCTTTAATAAAAGATACACAATCAGTGTTGCAATTGCTCTAAACTTGAGAAACAGAAACAGGTAAGGGGAAGGACTGGATGGAATATTACAGAAGAGGGAAAAGTGAGCAAAAATAGAAGATTAAGTTCAGCACAGAAGTTGTTTTCTCCATCCTGAAATCTTCTTAGAGTATGCATTGAGATGTTTCACTAAAGGAATATATTTTACCTATTCAATCATTTAAATAAAGTGAGATATTACAGGATATGCTGATGTTTTGTGAAACTTAAATCAATATTAGGAGTTCTAATTTTACTAGGAAATTAAAATTAACAGAGTTTAACAATAAACATGAGATTGTGTGTGTCTGTGTGTATAAACAAGACAGATCTAGTTTTGTTGAAAGAAAGACATTCTCAACAATGTACATCCTCAGACTCTCATCATCTCTTCCTATCTGGCTGAATGCCATGAGCAAGGATTGGCAAAGACCAGCAGTTGAAGAATTAAAGTCAGGGGGGAGAAGCCAAGCTCTATCTCTTATTGGCTTATATACTGCAAACATTTTCAAACATTAGTTTTGTATTCAGTAAACTAAGAAACAGGACACCAAAATCAAGAGATGGTATTAAAAATATTTCACCACAGTATGAGTTCTGAACAAACAGAATGGGTGCACTGTTCAACCAGCACAACCTAACTAACCATCCAGACCAGCCATAGTCAGTGCTGCCTTGCTTGCAGAGTTCTAGAGGGAATTGTATAACTTTATTGGTTTGTACATTTGTTTATCTTGTTATACATATGCTAGGCTCAGACTGCTGCACTGGGGATACAAAGGGTAAAACCCAATTTGTGCCTTTGAATGATGCAAAGTCAAGTGAAAGGAAAATATAAATTAAGTATATAAAACCATATATATGTGGACTTTCTTTCTTTCTTTCTTTCTTTCTTTCTTGACACTGAATGTCAAACTCATGACTTCACATTTGCCAGGCAGGTGCTGGCCACTGAGCTTATCTCCAGCCCACACTGAGGAAGTTTTAACACTGAGTTTATCAATGATCACCTGCTTTGAATTCCACATACCTTCTAGTCCCTAACCTTACCATTTCCTTGGAGATGTAGTCTTACAAGTATTTCAGGCAAAATTAGATTTACCACCATTAGATTACCATTGTCTATAAAATCAGTTTGTTGCATTTAATTTCTTATAATGCCACAAATAAATAAATAAATAAATATGCATATATATATATATGTATATGTATATATACATACATACTCGTGTGTGTGTGTGTGTGTGTGTGTGCGCGTGTGTGTTTTGCCAAGGACTCAAAGTATAAAGTTATTATTGGGTCTTCCCTCTCATTTAGCATTGCCTAAATGCCTATCCAGTAAAGGTTTTCCTATTCCTCTCCCAGTCCTATAAAGATTGCAATCATATTATCTTCTACCTACTTAGCTTTGTCCAACAAAGACCTACTGGGTTTCTCTTCTTAAAGTATCTTCCTCAGTGGGTTCAGATTACTTGTTCTGAAGTATAGCTCTTTGGTCAACCATTTCTTCCAAACTCTTGCTATGTAAATTCTAAACTCATCACTTTGAGTTGAAGACTCCCACCTAAAATTCCTGCATTTTAATCATATTCTGACCCTCCCTCAAATGCTAGCATCCAGCAAATCTATCTCGGTTATGTCCTGCCTCCTTTTCGCAGGTCCTCTGCTTTTGTACCTACTGTCTGCCTTTCCCAGCCCAGTTTCATTCACCTACTATCTCTAAATTTTTCCAATCCTGCGAGATACTTGATATCACCTTGTATTTTCTATGGATTGTTGCTTTCTGAAATTCACTTGACCACGTATTTTCTTGCATGGTTGTAAAATAAATCTCTCTTTGCTCTCTTACCCCAATCAGACACTAAGCTACCTACAGGCAACAGTTAAGCATATGGTAAGCATTCAACACACATGTTTTGAATTAATGGGCAAATGAAAAAATGAGTTACAGTATTTGCCACACCCTTTACTGGCTCTTCAGATGTAACTGTTTGAATTTTCAAACCATATTTTCTGTGCTTGCCTTTTGGCTCTGAATCTACAATGTTTTGTTCCTTTTTCATGTCACTCATTATTGCTTCCAAGAGCAATTGAAGACCACACCCAAAAGTCAATAGCACAAATCATCTACGCATAACCAAAAATTGTGATGAAGGTAATTTTGCCTGACCATGGCTCTTTTCTACTTATAGAGTTTCAGTATCACTGTTTAAACAAAACAAGTTTTTTTTTTTTAACTTTTTAAAGTAAAAAAAATACCCATATTATTAAAAACAAACCTTGGAGTTAGTCCATTAGCTGAGAAACTCATTTTCGTCTGCACCTAGATGAAAGTAAATTAAAGAACAAAGATAAAACTGAAAGTATGCAGATCCTGCTGTTTCTCATTTGCTGTGTTAATCAAGGCTGCGGCATGAAGTTTCTGCCTCCATTAGCCTGTGTTTTCATTTTCTGTTTCTTTCTATTTCTTTCTGTCTTTCTTGTATTCACTTCTGAGGCTCTGATACTTTTCCAGGATAAAAATTAATTTTATTCAAGCATAAAACACTGATGTTAATTGAAGCACAGTGAGTCACTGCAAAGACACACATATCAGCCTGTTTTATTTTTATTAGTTTTGTCCTGAATTTAAAAAAAGATACATGCTAATTTTTAGCAAATTTGCCATCTCGTCACAGGGAGCTATGCTAGGTAGTCTGTGCTAAGTGCCAAATTAGCTTTGCTGACAATGTGTAGTTCACAGGACTCTAATGATTGATTTCCAAGTGAATCAGGCATGAGTTAATGCTGTAGAGTTCAAGGGAAAAAGAACTCTGACCTGTATTATCCTAAAGGAGACACCTCAGCCCTCACAAATCTCTTTAATTTACCTACACTTTTAGCGCGCTTCAAAATGATTACTTTATCAGCTCCTTTTTTATTCTTTACTTTTCCATAGTTTTTTTTTAACTCACTGCTAAATTTTATATTAATGTTTAAAAAATTCCCATCATTGAAATGAGGAAGAGAAATGCTGTAATGACTTAGCAAAACTATTTGGAGAATTTCATTCAGAAAAAGCAGGACTACTATCACTTAGTTTTGCTAAAGATGATTTTAGTAATCACACTTCTCAAGACAGCCATAGGATCTTCTCCCCCTCCCAGAAAGGTTCTTGTTGAAGCCTTAATTTGTGTGGCCATTTAAAAATATTGATTATTTTCTATTGGTAATAGAGATATGGATGCTGAAATCATGATTAAGTTGTGGACTAGTTAAAATTTTGTGCTGGGGATGCATATTTGCATAATTAAATAGAAGTCAAATACTGTTTAAGTGAGACGCTTTGCTTTGCCTATGAAAATAGTAAGAAAGTGAAAATGTTCGCTTGTGAACAAGAAAGGCAGTGCGTTTAACAAGACTTAGCTATTGGTCAGCCTCCTGCACTGACACCCTGTGTAATCTGATGTACTCAACTGAGGTGCTATTGTTTGAGTTGCACTTTTACCTCTGCTGAGAATTGCTTTAGTGCTTCCATAGTACCTGAATAATGAGGCGGTTGCACCTGGTAAATAATCACCCCACCGCCCACCACAGCCCCTGGGACGTTCAGTGCTGCAGATGCTCGAACTCATCATCTACTGGTGAGCTTCCCTCCTCCTTAGACCTTCTCTTGCTTCTTCTCTTCAGTGCAAACATGTTATTTAATCAAATGAAGACTAACTCAGCAAACAGCATAAAATTCATCTGCACTTTCTTCAGACGAACACTGCATATAAATTTCCTCATCTCCAGGTTTCTATTTGAAATATGAAATGAATGTAAGAAGGTCAAACTCATGGGCATTAAAGCTGCACTGCCAAAGAGACATGCATGAGACTGACAGAAAGACCCAGGTGTCAAAAATCTCAACAAATAATAAAGTATTTTTTTCTATTTTTAATTTCTTAGAAAAGAGTAATTTCCTTTACTGCTAGTGATATAAAAATTTCCTTTTAGGTGTGTGGGAATTCTCAATGTACAAAAGACACATACATATTGAGATGCCTTAGCATTTTAGTGCAACGAAAACTTCACTGTAAAATGAATTTTTATGTATGCATGCATAAACCATACAAATATTTCATATCTGTAGCAATTTTAGAACTTTTACAATAATTGCAATACATGTAATAGTTTGATTTGGTGAATGTTAACCTATTTTTGGATTGCTGAAAATTTACTTGTAATAATGTATCAATGGTTTTGTGATAGCCTTGAGTGTTAAATACTGAGGGGAGCTCTTTCATCTTCATTATGACCTTCTTCCTACTATATTTCTTATGGTGTCACAGAACGTTGGTTCTGGTTG